CGCCTTCGGTGGTTTGGCCATGTTCTGCGCCGATCAGATGACGATCTGGTCAAATCAAATCAATTCTAAATCCCTCGCCATTTCCATCTTGGCGATGTCGCAGGGGTGGACAGCTGAAAACATGGCTTGGTACAGTCAAGGCTGATATGGAGTGCCTGAGGCTACAAACCGTCTACGAACTCCATCTGTGGAACAAGAATTGGATAACCCTGTCGCAAAACCTTGTATCAGATCGCCGCGCCTGGGCAACGATGATTCGAGATGCTTATGAAGCCGGCTCATCCTCCCGTAGGAGATAGCCGAAGTAAAGTAAGTAAGTCTAGAGTCAGCAGGGTGATCACTTAAAAAGCATACCAGAGTTTATTAAACTACAGTTAATCTACTAGTTTTGTCTCTGCTCCACATTAAGAATATTATCATCTGCTTAATGAGGCTGAAACAGGAATATAATGTATAAGATAATATTCACTACTGTTAAACACGTAGTTTGATTTTACTATTGAGAAGTGACTTCTAAATATTTATTTTTGTAGTTTCCTCACTAAGAACTATTTAGTTATCCTCTTTCAGTTCGTTAAGAATCCTAATCTAACGTGTTTTTATTTATCAGTATTTTGGTGACATATATGTCTTACAGGATAATCAACTTTCACTAGACAATGAACAATTAGGCTACATTTGTTTCACGAATGACAAACAGTTCATTGGATAAATTGATGGTTAAATCCAAGTGGCAACATTAATGTTAAGATGTTTTGGAGTACATTTGTCTGTTAGTGCGATAAATATCAAGACTTAATGCTGTAGTAATTTTTTCAAAACAGTTATTAGGAAAATAATATTTTCTTTTGGATATCAGGATACAGGGGAATAATACAGAAATAGTTTTATTTTACTGACAACAAACCTGGAAGATATTTTATCTGCCAACGTTTCCAGATAATTGCATACTGTGTCGTTTAACAAATACAAGTTTAAATACAGGAGATATTAGGATAATAACGAATAACTGTTCCTCATAAAATGTCAAATCTTAAGGTGAATTAATCTGTGTTTTTTTGCAACCAGTTTATTAGGAAAACACTTTATTGTCCTAAGAATATCCTAAGAAAGTACAGAACAATGTATCTGATAAATAAATCTAACCCAATATATGCGTCACTAAATTTATCTGTGAAAATATTTATTTAAATAATTTGTACTTTTCGGACGGTTGTCCTAGTAGAAGCAGGGGAAAATGACATTCACAAGTCGATGTACATATTTTCTTCAGTTCAACACCCACTGGATTCGAAATGAATCCGATAAAATGAACCCAAAGGAGCAAGTTAAGGATCTGTTCAGTTGTTTATCATACTGATCGAGACAGATTACCTTATAGAAGGATAAATGGCTAAGACATTTTGAATACCAGAACCAGTTACATACTGTAGTAATAATCAATTTACCATGAAAATTTAAATCATCTTAGATGTAGCAGATGAAGTTCTTTACCAAATATTGTTCAAGGAAATAGAGCAAAGTGACTTTGTCACTAATCTTCTTTCATCATTTGCTAGGTGTCGTTTGTGAAGCGAAAGATGACACACCTAGACGCAACATTTCTATCAGAACTGAACAGTGTAGGTGTTACAATGCAGGAAGTCATAAGGGGAGAATAAAATCATAAATTAGAAGACAAGTCTATGAAATCATAACTTAATGCTTAAAAATAATTCTAGTGAACTTGATAAGATACTCACTCTGGTTTTGTTCATCAGATAGTGGCCAATATGTGGCTGTCACTTTTAAAATGCATTTCAATTAAGTGTTTTTAACAAGATTTGAACACTGTTGTAACTTTGTGAATTCAAACCTCTTTCGGATGCTTTTGGACTAGACAGACTTAATAGACGAACTCGCTACTTAGTCTCTTCTAATTTCTATATATTTAACCTGTCTTGTAAATCTAGTACATTTTGTTTAAACTTTTATTATTTATTCGTTTCACTCTTGACTGTGTATGATTCTAATCGAATTTGGTTCTTCTGTCTTGTCATGCTGTTTCCGATATCTTGATAATCGTTCGCATAAACTTCTTTGCTTTTACTTGGGATTGATACTGTTTCTTCTGCTTTTACTGACACCACCAATGTATATGGTGTGAACTTCGTAATACCACCAATACTCAAAATATGAAATGTAAGTGGGCATGTGTAAATATATTACAGTGAGGCGTAAAAGACGATATTCACTAATGTGTGTGTATGTGTGTGAAATTCTTGTTTTGATTATGAAAACCTTCAAAATGTTGGAATTCTTGTGAAGTCGAGTGTTATAGTACTTTGTTGCACTTAAGAGATCCGAAAATTAACATCGCCTATTGGAAATTAAGTGTTTCGACTAAATATTATCAAAATGAAGGTATTTCATATTAACTAAACGTTCTCAGCCACTCTTGTATGACTGACTTCACAGTAATCCACAGAGTTTGCTAATATCTAATAAAAAGAATTCGAATAGGCTATTCGGGACATCAAACCGAATTGTTGTATTCAAATGTAATGCATACATTCACTAGTCTTACAACTGACGAGTTAACACTCCTACCGTTAATTCGTTATATTGTGCTGTTTGATGTTCATTTGGTTATTACAAGAGAGTTGACTTGTGAGGATTTGATTCGTTTTTCAAGTTAGACCATGGATTGATATCAGTTACAGAACCATTGAAAACCAGGGAGTACTAGACAGATGTTTCATCCTAGTTTAGGAATAATTATTTTTATTATTCACATTGCGTTTCTCATGCACACTTCACTTGAACACTTCATCGTTTTTCACTGTCTGTCTGTTTTCTTGATTCAGATTGATTAGACTACGTATACACTTATTACGTGACACCAACTTTGTTTCTTAATCTCCACTCGTGCATTCCCTTCCTAGATTATTCGTCATACCGCACAAAACATTTTCTAGAATATAACTACTAGGCTTTGATTGGTTATACTAATTCTCTGTCGAATATAAATATAAATACGACTGTATAACTTTTGAAATTAATGACTCATCGAAAAGAAAATTTTCCTCATCGTTGCATCTTTTTATAAATAATGAGAGTCGATTAGTTGGAACTTGAGACAGATCAAATTATTTCAAAAATAAACTTTTCTATGGCATAACTTTAGAAGATTATTTACTCTTCATAACTCCTCCATTAGTATTAGCAAATGAAAACACTTTAATATTACAAGTTTTAATTGACCAACCACAAAGGTATGCACGACCACTGTCTAGCAGAATGAATTAATAGAAATTAAACATGAAATTTGTCGAGAAAATTATAAAAATTTGTTCCTCTATCAGCTGCTTTCACTAGAATCTGATCAACCTTCTCTACATGGTTCAGCATTGCTCATTTCGTTTTCTTTAATTGAGAGTTTAAAACGTTTCCCATTGTGATAGCTAACATGATTTCCGCTTAAAACTAAAATAATTTCAAAAATGTAAAATTGTAATCTAGACTAATGGGGAATACACGATGCTGGTGATTGATTTCGTTTAAGCTAGCGCTAAATTCACTTTTCATGGGATCTATCATCCTTCTTCATGTAGTATTTGTCTTATGGTTCCTTGAGTACACTTAAAATGGCACACTTCTTAAAAAAAACCTGGCTAGATTGACTAAATAATGCTTATATGTTGTATGAGAATCACTAATAAGTGACGACTGAAGTCATTCTTGAATTCTGCACCACGTTATGCTACAGGATATGTCACTAAAATGAATTTTATTATCTTAAGACTGTTGAAGTCTTTTGCACGGCATATTTATGTTGTTTTGATAAAAGCAAATACTACGAAATGAACCACTTCCAGTCAGATAAACTACTCTTGACTATTAAAATGACCGTATGCAGTTAATTAGTCTTATTTCTCAAGTTAACTGTTCAGCCAGAATTGGAGACCACCCACCCGTTATTTGCAACTATAAAAGAAGAGGCGTTCAGAGAAGAGTTGCCTTTTTCAGCAACATCCTCTTCGCTGAATGCCTCATCTGTTATATGGCTTAATGGGAATTTTCAGGTTACTTAAAATTAGCCTCGGCTGTGACTGAAAGTTTGAAGATAATTTTCTGTAAATTAAAAGGACATTAACAATAAAAAAAACTGGTGTTTGCGCCATAAAATAGACTGATTTAAACCTTCTCAAACTTTTTAATTTAACGCTGAATTATTAGTAAAGGTGTAGTCTGACTCTGCATTTCAAATTAGGCCGGAGCTTTTCTTGAATAAAAACAATGATTTTAGAGACACATCTCACACTTGAGAAAAGTATTTGTAGACTGGAAAGTGAACTGCCTTATAAGGATTTTATTCTATTTATTTGTTTTCCTAAAATTTCGAAATACAATGGATAAAGTTTTCTAATGCGGAAGACGTAGTATCTGATGCATTATTTCTGCGGTGAATGGGTGGTAGTTCAACTGTTACACAGGTTTTTTGACCTTTGTTCCAAGCTTACCAGACAAAAGCTCTTAATAGGGAGTCAGACTGAATACATTTGTTGCCCTATGTAAAATTTTAGCCGACTGAAGTCTATCAGACTTGTTTTCATGTGCAAATAAATTCGCATTTGTAAACAGTTGTTGTGGCATACAAATGAAATGTTGTTGTTTTCGCTGCTGTTAATGATATTTTTCCCTTATAACTTCTATCACTAATTGTTTGGCGCTGTAGATACTGGTGATAGCAAGAACATTTGAGATTTATTCTATTTGTCTAGGAGATATAAACAATGGCAGCTGTTTAAATAAATGTATACACATATAATCCAGGAATGCTAGATACATCTATTCTAGCATTATGGTTATTCTTTGTCTGAAATTATAATTATGTAAAGATTACTTGATTTATTTATTTACTAATTATGCTTCAAAGTGTTAGTTGTTCAAGTGCCTAATAGCGTGTAGGTGGACACTAAATCCTTATACTGTTCACCAAATGCACTCAAGGCAAAAAAATGAAGCGAAAACAGTATCACGGAGGTAGTTATACAAGTAAATTGTTTCTGCTTGAACTGGACGTATCCTAGTATTAAAGTCTTTAATCAAATGAGAGATCTGTGTGGCAGCTTCCATAACAGGCTTAAAAGTGGCACTGAAAAACAATGATCTTTTGATTTTACTTTTATGCATCTTCGACATCCACGAAAACTGAACATCCATGGGAGTTTAACTTTAGGTTGTGAAGACACTTAACGTCCAAGATCGACGTTTTCATTTAATGTGAATTGATAATTGATTGAATCAGACAGACATCATGTAATTATTGACTTTAGACGTTTCACAGCTGACGGTACCTTCTGCTGAAAAAAATTTGAAATAAAATATGCTTTAACTTGTGATATTTTCCATACTTCATTTCTATGATAAAGAATTATTCATTGCAATATTAGACTATGTCCTCAATTTTATTTAGAAAGCGCTCACCCAGGAAATCACCATAGGAGAAGGATCCATGGATGAATATTTGTTCTCAATTTGATCTTCAGGATATACTCTAATTTACACAGATATATATATATATATATGACATTTAATTTTGTTTTAGATTTTCCCATCAATTCATTGGACTGAAGTGCTCGATCTCAGGTTGACATGTCGGCTTCTTGTGCATATGCTTCTACGGTGTCTGAGCATTTAATTAGAATTTAATTGGTGGATGGTGACTAGCAGTGGAATCCAGGATGCGCATTTCATCCCATTTGGGACTCGTCGGCTGGATATACCTGCATTTCCCCGTGAGTGATGATGTTTCCACCGAGGCTCGAACGCGTAAAATTCAGTAACGATTCAGATACGGTTATCATTATTATTTCTGTATACACAACGCTTGAGAAATGTCTCAGCTTTCCTTACCATACTATGCTTTTTATTCACACAGGAATATGCACTTACTTCTGAGACAGCATTGTAAGTGCAATAAATTATCTGTAATTTTACTACACAATACGCTTAGTAAATCTTGGATGACATGTCATACACTTCTGCATTGTATTTAATCGACATACTAACATGAAAGTAATGCTATGCTTGATAGTGAAATTTTTACCTAGAAAATATACCGGAAACTCTAATAACAGGCACGTGTGTATATCAATATAAGTAGTGTGTAGTACATACACCGTCTAAAGATAGTCGTGGGGAAGTAAGTATCGAATTAAGTTGATGTTCAATGGTATGTCGTTATAAGCAGCTGTCATGAAAAACAACTTTTCCTCATAAATTAGATTAAATAGCACTCTACTCTCAAATGTTGAATTAATTTCAAGGATCAATATGAACCAATAAGGAGAAAATGCGTGATCTGTCAGGAAGCAGTAAAAGATGAAAAATTATTTTTTGTATTGGAAAAGTTATTAGCGGTTTTCCATTGAAACATAGCCATGAATTGATGAGATGAGACAATATTATATGGTTAAATTGCATGGGAAACTACATTATATAATAATTTTGAAGTTGGATTAAGGATTCATGTAAATTAATCATAAAAATGGTCACAGGTCTACGCAAATGAGAAGGATTAAATGATCAGTAATACTTTTCTGAATGCCATTATCAGTAGATGTACTTGCAGTTTCAATTTAAAAACCTTCCATTTATAAATCTGAAAGGCATACTGTTGATTTCTTCCCAAACCAAAATAGGTAAAATTTGTACTGTAAAAGTAAAGTCATTTGGCATATTTTATAACAACTTAGTTTCATAACACGTAGAACCCATTAACTGTCTATTTGTGAAATAACTGGAAAAAATTGAGAAATCACTAAAATACAGTCTATTACTGTAGAATGCAGGTGATGGTGATTCAGTAAACTACAATAATAGCAAATTAATCGTCCAGTATTCCCACTTAGTCATTTGTATAAGTCGTTTCTTAAGTTAAAACAGACGAAAATTTCCGCCTTTTCAAATAAAAATATGCAGTAACCTAAGCACAATGAACTCAGCTTACACTTTTTTATTTTTGACCCAAAGTCACTACAAATATTGAAGATTATTTTCCTGTTTATATAGTTCAGCCTATTGGTATGTTAACATTAAGTGGTAATAATGATAGAAACATACATATCTTTCACTTAAAACTACACACATCTAAGTAATTCACTTTCCATAGGTTTGCTTTAACTTCATGCTATACCGTAATATCAAACTAATTGCTGTGGCCTAAGCTGCACATTTTCGGTGCCTGAAGTTAACCTAGTGTCATTAACAAAATATTCCTGTGGTAAAATTTCTTTAAATCTTCCTGCTAGACTGTCTTAACGGGCCACACAATTCCATTGCTCAATAAAAAATATCAGCAGGATAAGAGTCTGGAAGTTCTAGTACATTTTCAAGTATAACATAGAATTGTATCTGTGTATTTTCATGCATACATAATCCACCAAATATAAAAGTGTCTGCACAAATCACCGGCTGTTCAGATTCATGCTGAGTTGACAAAAATAAAATAATTAACAGAAGGCTGCATTTTGCTTATTCATCAGTAAAAAGTAGTCGCATTGTCTTTGGTTTTCCCTCTTATTTCCAACTAACCTTTTTTCTTCACTTTAATTGTTTCACTTCGTCAATCATATTTGTCGTGTCTTTGCATTCTGCTTCTTCTAGAATTCTTATCAAATCTTAGTAGCGAAATTCTGAAAAAAAAGGTATCATGCAATCGAAATGTGCATAAACACAAATGCGAGTAGACACACTCAAATGTACATGCCAATAGCTTTGAGATATACTCTGTCAACTGGAAACAAGATTTTAAAGTTTAGCAGAATATAGTTAATTACCGAAGAGGCTTCTTCAGTGAACTAATGGACGCACATAATAGCCCTTGACTACGCTGCCTTTACACTACAAGATGTAGATAAGATAAGATTAAGTAGGAAAAAGTCTCAGGAAATATATTTGCTAATTCATACTGAAGAATTGCATTTTATTTGATTTGTTATTTTATAATCTCTAATATTTACCATATCTATACCTACTTGTATTATTTTCTCCATTATTATGGTATTGATGCAACAAGTCTGAAAATTCTGTTCTTAATCTAGATGCTTTAGCCTACAAGTGACGACGAGTCAGCTGACATAATTATATCTCAGCAACAAAGCAGTTATTATTTACCTTTATTCAGAATGACTCACCAGAATAAAAAGAAAAGGAGGTTTAGTAAACAAGAGTTATTTGTACTTATGCGCAGTATTATTCCTTGCAGTTGTTCTATTGTTTGTTGACGCATTCTCCAGACAAGAATACAAATGAGTGAAAGTAACTGTTGTTTACCTGAAAAATTCATTTATCACTGTCACACTGGTGTGGATCTGTAAAACTTGGATAGACCAGTGGAAGAACGTTAGCATTCAAATAATATATATACATATATATATAATACTCCCTTGCGTTCCGAGTGCAACATAGGGCTTCAACAACACGTCTACACTTTGTTCCGTTTTCTGACGTCCTCTTCAACTGGGTCCACGATTAACCAAACTCTCTCATCTGTTCCTCACACGACCTCCTCCATGTCACCCTGGCATCGACGACCCACTCGTCGCTTCCCATTTGGATTCTACTCGAGCGATGGCCAGAAGTGCGATGTTATTCGGCGGCCTCCCCAATGTATCCCTGATCTATCTCCACTTTCTCCTGCATATTTATTGAGCAACCAGCTCTTGCCTGTTGGTTTGTTGTCATAGTGACTCTGTTCTCTGTAAAAGGACATATTACGTAGTGGTTGGTTTAAATGTTTTTGAAAGTTGATTAAATAGACCAAGGAAAAAATCCATTTTACAAAATATTTAATTGTCGTACGGATAAACAAGAGTCTGCCTCATATCTCTCCAAAGAGTCAGTCATCGTCTATCAAGCCAAGGTTTAGGATATATATATATATATATTCCAGTCATATAATACACTTTTTGACTAACCTTTTGTAAATCATGGATTTCTAGTGGTAATTTGTTTGTCTATATTTAGCCTAGTAGTGATAGTTTGGTTAGAGCTGGCTGCTAGCCAAAATTGGTGGACAGTAATTTACGTCAATGTTTATGTCCACAATATTGGTCGTGAGAAAAATTAGAACAAAGGCTTTGAGTAGTAGGGTACAGTTAACATATAGATGATCTGACATTCAAGAAACAGTTACAAAGAAATGTAAGGTTAACTTTCTGTGACAAACAACCAACCAGAAGATTGTGTTTTTCTGCTTACAATAATCTATAATAATGTACATGAAAATCCATAAGTATAGGTTGATTTCTTTAATATATGATCTGTTGCCTGGCCCTTGTCTTCTGTTAGTACACTACTGTTGTAACGTGTACATATTATAGGCTATTCTTAGCAGAAAAACACAGTCCTCTGACTGGTTGTTTCTCACAGAAAGTTAACCTTGCATTTCTTTGTAACTGTTTCTTGAATGTCAGATCATCTATATGTTAACTGTACCCTACTACTCAAAGCCTTTGTTCTAATTTTTCTCACGACCAATATTGTGGACATAAGCATTGACGTAAATTACTGTCCACCAATTTTGGCTAACAGCAGCTCTCACCACAGTAGTAGTAGAAGAAGAATAAAGATGTATGCTTTCCTTCAGTGTAAGGATGGTCTGCAAATTGATATAAGAATAAAACTTGTGGACTGTGGTAGAGTGTAATTCCATTATGGATAAATTTTGTTTTGATAAATTCTCCCAGTGTTATACAGTAATGTTTACTGATGACGTTTCGAGCACAATTTATTGCTCATAATCATATCAAGGTAATCACATGACTTGATATGATTATGAGCAATAAATTGTGCTCGAAACATCATCAGTAAACATTACTGTATAACACTGTGAGAATTTATCAAAACAAAATTTATCCATAATGGAATGGTCTGCAAATGTAAAAATGAATATTCTGAATAAATATATGTAATATATACATACTTTATTTCAAATTTTTTAACACCACTATGTTTCGGTGGTACAATGGCAGCACGCTCCCCAACCGCCCATATAGTTCGTGTTTGATCCTAGGTTGGTACACTGCTCAACCTCTCTAAGCCAGTAGTAGCTCCCCTAAAGAAACAAGGTTAGGCGTAAGGCTGACAACCTCACCTCGTAAAAAGAATACTACTACAGCTACAGACACTTCGAAGCTCAAGCTTGCAGCAGCCCTATGAATCACTTGGAACACAAAAGGAATTAAAAAATAAAACATTGCGTAATTGAAATTTTCAGTCTTGGTTTCAGAAATCTTGTATTCATTTGGTGAAAAAACTACATTACTCTAGAGTATATTTAAGTAGACTTCTATGGCTTTGACGTGTGTGATAGCAATGTCAAACAACAACCTACTGTGAATTCATTAAGTTCGCCGACAGAAGCTCTGCAAATCTGACACGCTTGTTAAAAATGTATTTGCTAACGTATTAAAATACATCATGTTTGCGTAACCATCCAAGCTGTTGTTTAAATATTCAAAATTTCTTAAACGTTTATCAGTATAAACTGTCGAAAATGCTTCGAACATTTCAATAAAATTTCATCCATCTTGTAAGTTTACAATAGACTAATGACGTCTAGAAACATTTAAAGATAATACCTCTGAAATATCTTTACCTCTTCACAATGTACACTGTATAATATGCATAATACTTAAATTTGTTATTTAATCCACTTAATGCATACACATCTATTCGAAGGGATATTTCAATTCATTTTTTCTTAATTTCTTATCTAATATAGATTACTTATCTCAACATTGTCATTATGTCCCAGGCATTGCAACAAGAAGATTATATTTTGAGTTAACTGGAGCTGTTATCTATTCACATCCACGCTATGCTCAGTTATATGATGGTTTTCCACAGACAGCTGATCAATCAACACTGAAGCCTGGATTATTTAAACAAAGCAAAAGTGATAAAAATCAGGCTAAAACATCAGCAAAATCATTAAATAAATACACAAAAGCAGATGATGGTAATTCATTAACAGAGAAAGGGTTTCAAAACTATATGCATTCAACGACTACTATGACAACACTAAAGGAAACTAAACCGACCATGGTAAATGATGTTGAAAGAAATACTATGGAAAACACGTATCCTGTGAATTTCAGCTGCGAAGTATACATACACTCTCAAGCCAATTCACGGATCATGGTCAGATTCCAGTCATTTTACATTCCATCACAACAACAATTATTATGTGATGAGAATTATTTGTATTTATTTGATTCGAATACACCACAATATCGTGCTATGGTGAGTAATATATAAGTCATAATGTAGTGTTTAAAATTACTGGGATCTTATAAACCCTAGTTTCCTACCCAAAAACATCAGTTTATTAGTTACTAATTTCACTCAATAGAGAGTTTCCTTTTGTTTCTTTTCTCACTCAAGTGGATATCAGGAACTTTTATGCTAACAAATTGGTGGATTAAGGGAATACCTATATTACATATTTTATAGTAATAATTTGCAAAACTTCAAAAGTGTTTCGTTTACTTTCATTTTCAAATAAAAATTTTTCATCCTCCAGCAAAATAGAAAAGCGTTACTTTACGGATTCTATGTGATCAGTGTGTTGATAAGTACTCATGCCTAGTTTCAGGCTAAATGTTGTTTATTTATTGCCTATCGATTCTCTATTTACTATATTTGATTAATAATTTTTATTACATTCGATAATAAATTAGTGTCAGTAAACATTAAGATTATATGCAACAATAAAGTTTGAAAAACTTTTACAACACAAGTCTAAAATTTCGACGTATACATAACCGATCATTTATATTTATTTAATATCTATCAACCATTCATCAAAAAAATAAACAAACTAGATTTTGGAATATAGTTAACAACTGTGTTCGGATTTTCAGATGTTTAATTATTAACTCACATTTAGAGTGATTTCAAATATTTCTCAAAAGTAATCATCCATTCGATGTATTTACTAGTGACAACCATTTACAGTTGAAAGTCTTCTCGCATACCAGGCTTCTGATTGTTTAAAAATCAATTTACGGTAGACAGTATATGCATAAATGAAGGCTATTTTATCCACCTTCTGAAGATTGACAATGAATAAGTCAACACTTAAACTGGCTTGAAGAATAATGACTAGTATGCATTCTACATAACGTCGAACTTTTATTACCATTTCGGTCTGTTAGTCATAAAATATATTTCAGGTGATTGTGGTTGGCGTTTTAAACTGGAATATTTCATAGGGTTAGCCATGTAAACTGCAATCGTGTCATCAAAGCTTTCGAGGGAGATACGATTAACTAGCTTAAGCATTCTACTCCACCCAGTTGATTCCAGGTTCGAATCCCCCCAGTGACTGAATGGTCAATGGGCCTGTCTCTTAACCCGATGCTCTTTCGTTTGATTCTCAGTAAGTTGGTGGGTGTTTGCTGTCGAAGACTTTCAAACTAGAACGAAACAGCTATCCAGTACTCCCTGGTCTTCTAACTGAAGTCAACTCGTGGACTCACTTGAATCCAACCAAGTCCTTGAAAACGAAAACTTAAAAAGTGGTAGTTAGTTTTCCTTAATTACTTTTACCGCTTTGAGTGTTATTATATTATTATTATTATATCCTCTAATTCTTAGAGGAACATAGGGCTTCAGCTGCGCATCTCCATTGCCTTAAGTTTTCTGCCAACTTTTTCACTCCGCTCCAAGTCTACCCACACGCTTTCATCTCCTACTCACATGACCTCCTCCAAGTCACCCCTTACACTGACGACCAACTCGCCGCTTCCCTTTCGGGTTCCACTCGAGCAATGGCTTGTCTAGTGATGTCACTTGATGGTTTCCCCAGCGTATGGCCAGCCAATCCATCTCCATTTCTTCCTGCCTATTTGTTTCACAATCGGTTCCTGCTGGGTTGGTTCGCTCATTGTAAGAGATCCTTGTTGCTGATCTTTTCTGGCTGGCCATCTGATCTTGAGTATTGATCGAAGACAACTGTTAATGAAGGTCTGTAGTTTGTTTGAGATGCTGTTTATGACGCGCAGTGCAAGTCTCTGATCCGTATAGTATCACTGACTTCACATTGGAGTTGAAAATCCGGATCTTATTTTTGAATTTGAGTGCTGTTGACCTCCACAAAGACTTGAGAGTAATGAAAGCTTGTCTTGCTTTTCCGATTTTTGTTTTGATATCCTCGTCAGTTCCGCCTGTAGTTGAAACCATGCTTGAGTGTTATTTCCACATTATTCGACAGTGTATTTAAATGATAGTTCAAGTGATACAAATGAACTAACAGATGTATAGAAGTAACTAGAGTTAAAACTACTATTTCTTGTCTTGAAAGACTAAAAATACGTTTTGCTTAGTTTTCCTCTAGAAGTAATCTCTGTTTTTCTGAGTTTGAAGTTAATTTTATTTAGTTCCATTCACAACGTACATTAAATTTTTCATCATATTTTCATCAAAATACCCAGAAATATTTGAAACCGAGAGAGAAAAACTTCTTTATTAACGAAGTGACAAGAACGCACACCTGGTAAATAGTTGCAATTTCATCTTTCTCACTCCTCAGTTAACGAATTAGAAAATCGCAGTTCCTGATTTTCATAATTCATTAATAATCCCCTTGCGAATTAATTAGAAGGAATATTTCTTGAACTGAAAGCGAAACGTCAACCTGTCGGTCTAAAGGTGATGTGATTATTGACTTTACAGGCATTCTGAATCAAGTGTATTCCCTTATTCAAGGCATTCTACTCCAACTCCTGCACACATGAATCGATAGCAACCTGGGATGTCCATCGAAGGTGGTCATTGTCACTATTTTCATTCTATTTCACTTTACGTACCTATGAACAGGACTATAGTCATCTTAGATATCTCTGAAATTTGTCTGCCACTAGCAAAAACTATTATTCATTTAGATAGAGAGAGAATATTAGCTTTCTTAAAAAAGATATAATCTAAACCTCGAGTTTTATGAGCACAAGTACTCGTCCAAAGGCATGTACACTGTGACACATGCTGAGCCTCAACCTTCATCAAGAAATAATACTATTTAAAATATGACCGGGTTGAAAAAATTGTAGCGCGTCCAGATCAGCTCACTGCGTCATTCAAGAAAGTCTTCAACTGTTGATCTGAATAGTTTTGGACGTGTAAACCGATTGGCTTTGCTTCTGGAATACTAAGAGATAATGGCTTGATACTGTTTGTAATACAACTGAAAACAGTACTCACTTGTTGTCATCATCCGGATTCTGAAAATATTATCCAGTGCAAGCTTAATTATTCCCTCTCCGATATATTTCCATGCATCGTAGTTCCATTAAATTTCTCTCCTCTACTTTTGTTTACTTCATAGTTCGGTAAAGCGAAACGATACAGATTTGCGCAAAGTTCGAAGCTGTTGTTTTAGTCACCAAGTAAGACAAAACTGATTATCTCAGAGTTAAGAAATGCCTTCAATATCGCCAAACCACGGTTTGCAAGATGACATATCAAACAAAAAATAATGAATGAATTCTATAAAAAAAACTTACTTGTGATACCTCTGTAAAAAGAATCAAAAGTCTGGAAAACTCTAATAGGAGGTAGAGTAATATATTTTTTTGTTCAGATTGAAACACTTTTCCTATGGATAGAGGCAGTGAAAGGTCATATTCAGGAGGCCCTTAAAGCGATTCAAAGTTGTTCAGCTCAGTCCTGCAGTCACTCAAGTCTAAACCAGAGGCATCCAGCCCACTTACTCCTAAATCTCACCTATTCAAATAGTCGGTAATGAAGCTGGAGAAGAGGGAATGTTGGGCATGAGACACCAAAACCTGAAGCCCTGTGTTCCACCAGGAAATCAAAGAAATAAAATAACGAAAAAAACATGGTTGGAGTCAGTTTGTGTTTTGTACGACAACTTAACAATAATCAACTATTTTTTGTTCGAAAATTTATAAGAAACTGTGACACACCACTACTGAGGAGTTGTGCAGTTGAATAAAACGCCTGTCGAAATAACTTTAGGTTACAGTGACACTTTAGTTGAGTTCAAACTAGTTGATTCCACTCGATCAACTTAGTACAAACATCACATCATTCTATAAATGAATGATAAATGAGGTGGAAACTATTTTCTATTTAATTTTTATTTTCTTTATTTTTAAATATTTATCCACTAAGAAAACGTTCAGTACCTGTAACCATATTTTTTTCAGACGATTATATCTTACACAAAAGCCGACATTCCTCATTTCAACTACAAACATATTCATTCGTGCTAATTTTTCTCTTTGTTCTACTGTCATGTTCAAATGTAATTTTTTCCTAATATTTTAGTAGGAAAACCGCCTTGTGTTTTCAACAGCCTTCTTACGTCTAAAACTGAATTCCTGAATTTTAGTTCAGACAACACAGTTAAAAGTTATAATCACGACATCAGTTAGTAGAGATTCACACTCAGCCAGTACACTTTCTTATTTTTATTTTCAAAGCCATCACTTATGTATGCATTTTATGATGGTTTATTTTTATTTGATAAACTTAGGCGATAGAGGTACAAAAACACCATTTCTCCACTTCTCCTATAATATTTCTCTAGATAATAAATCTGATATGCTAAAACAGTACGCAGCCAAACATATTTAAAACTGAGAGATTTAATAATTTCTAAGGGGAAACTCATTAGACGCATTAATGACTTACAGTCTCCATTGTTCACTTTAGCAACTGAGACTAGAGAGAAACTAATTGAAAAGAGCATGTGGAATCAACTGCCGGCTTATTTCTCTTATATGTCAAGCGTCATTTCATAGATTCAAATAACAGTTAGTTATTTTTAGTAATAATTTTGCATACAGTCAAAAGAACACAATGTAGACTTTACTGTGCTGATTAATTTTAACACTCACTCTCTAATTCAGAAAAAATTACGGTCTTAACGGGAACCCACTCGACTCAGTTAATTAAAACTGCTATTGATAGGCAATTTATTTCTTGCAAGCAGGTAGCCGAAGTCATCTTGAAGGACACCAAAAATCATCCCGTTTATTTGCAGCTTTTTCCTTGTCTCTCTTCGGGTAAAACCAAAGGAAATTTCATAAGAATTTAGGCTCGAACGGCAAATATTAAAATCAAACTCTACCATGTTTAGTATGGATTTTGCGTGAAGAGACTGGATAGTATCACCATGAGCACGTGGCTCATGGCTTGATATACGATAAAATCTTTCTCGAACAGTTGGGATCCGACCAACTAATTTGAAAGGTTTCGAAGATGAATATACATTTAGTTTCCCCTGAAATAGCAGCTTATTCACTGGATGTATATAGGAGGATATCTTTAGAAAATAAAAATGAAACCTGTGCTTTGAAGTTACTGCAGCTACTGAATTGACTTTCTTTGGTAAGGTCACTAGCTCTACGCCTTACCTTCCCTCTTTGCTTGGGCTTAGGACCGATTATCAAACTAGGCGAGGTTCTTAAATAAACTAACTGAAGACAACTCTTAAGGCGGAAATAAAACAACTGGAAGCTGTATCTTTTGATACTGCTTCATTTATAACATATTTGGAAAAAATAACACTGTATAGAAATGATTTCATATGCATTTTCATTAAGAGAGAAAACTCAAATATATCATGAAAAACGACTGAACTTGTCCTAACCATCCATCTAGGTAATACTAATACGTCTTATTAGTTGTATGTATTCTTAGTGTCTGATTCATTCAATATTTTCCATACTGGTTTTGTTTACGATATCATGCTATTTCCAGTTAAACTACAATGACATTCAGTGCTGTGATGACGTGTCTAACTATTTACGAAAACATTTAACAGTCAGAAGAAATGTTGTAAATTTCCTTTGATGTGACCTTCTGTTAAATTAACAAGTCATGCTAGACAGTTTACCCTACAGTTTGTTTCAATGAATTGATAGGCAACAACTTTATTTAAAAAAAGTTTCTATCACGGTTTATCATTTATATTTTTTGTGAATTTTTATGCCTCAGCGAGCGAACAGATAAATTTATGTCATTTGTTTGAATAAATGAAGACATGCAGCATTTACTTGAGTAGATTGTTTTGCTTGACAAAAACCGATGGGATTTGCTAGCAGATTGAATTTCTATGTGAGTAGGTGTTTTTTTTTGGGGGGGGATGCATACACTGAACGAATATAGTTTGTTTTGAAGTAAAAAGATGGCATCACGTTAAAAAACAGGATGGAAAATTAATTGACTTATATGAGGAATAAGTAATTATGAGAAATTAGCGAAACGAATCTTTCATTTTTTCGCGTGCAGATTTTAATTTGCATATTGGAAAAAAACCTATCTCAGGTATCTTAAAGATTTCGGAAAAAATGTTTTTTTTCCAGGAATTAGCTAATATCCTAAGTGTAGTTCCATTTCGAGTTTATTTTGTGACACAGACGAAGTGTCTTCCCTTCTGAGAAGCCTAGATCTGTTACTCACAGCTCTCAGCCGTGGTACATTTGTTTTCAGCCAAGTATTTGTCTTAGGAAGGAGGCATTCTCCCTTTTTGAAATATTTCACTTATACGTAAGCAATAAAATATGACGTAAATTTATTTACAATCCCCTTTTATACAAATCAGTCATCTATTAAAATCACATAAGCCAATCTTGATTTGACAATTTCTTAGGATTGCATCGGTTTTGCTTTAGAAGATCTCCACTGGCTAAGTTTAAGAGCAAAGTTGAATTTACTTCGTGTCTGATGGGTATTAAAAATAAATAAATCAGCACTGCGTTCATGCTCAGACCTATATCAGAAATTATTTGCTGATAAGCAGTGAGTGAATCTCATGTAATGATTTACCTTGGTCTGTTCAGAAGTGACTAGGGAGTATTTTGACATTTAATACTTTTGTTGATATCAGTGTTTCATTCTCTTTAACTGCGATAAGATCACATGCAGAAATAAGATACTGACTTTGGGAAAAATGTTTCTTTCACACTCACTCAATCTAATGATAATTCTTCATAAAGCAAGCTATAAATACATATATACATTCACAAGTATCTTTCAAAGTCTTTATTGGTTCAGTTATAAAAACAATAGGGATCAGAGACTTAGCACGTCACAAAAGGCACTTCAAACAAACTACAAACTTTTATCAACAGCTGTCTTCACTCTATAATGAAGATCAGATGGTCAGAAAAGATCAGCAACAGGGATCTCTGGGAGCGAACCAACCCGGCAGGGACCAATTGTGCAACAAATATACAGGAAGAAATGGAGATGGATTGGCTGGCCATACTCTGAGAAAGCAAACCATCATCAAGTGACATCACAAGACAGGCCATCGCTCCAGTGGAACCCGGACGGGAACTGGCGAGGTGGTCGCCGGTGCGAGGGTGACATGGAGGAGGTGATGTGGACAGGAGATGAAAGTATGTGTTCAGACGTGTAGCCAGGTGAAAGCGTTGGCAGAAAAGCGAACACAACAGAGATGTGTTTGAAGCCCAATGTTCTTCTAGGAACTAAAGGAAACAAATAATAATATCAAAACTAACTTTCTTGAGTAAATTAACAGTTTTAATCAAATAAACCAGAAATTATTCGTTGAAACTGCATAAATACCTCTGAATTGCTTGCAATTATTAGGACTTAATTATTATCAAACTTTCATTTCAGGCAGAGGCTGGTGGTGAAAGAGGTCTTTGTCAAGGTCAGTATCCAACACAACCGATTTTCACAACAAAATCATTTGTAACAATTGTATTCAGGTGAGTCTAGTTCATTTTTAAACCAAACGTAATAAAAATAGCAATAATACTCATCGCAATTCTGTCTGAATCCTTCAAGAAGCATCTCTTGAATATCCTAAATATCCTCATGCTTGTCAACTTTTTGACAAACCTGTGCCTGACTTAAAAAAGCTAAGTCACCATCAAGTGCGATATAAAGAATTTATTGTCTCATGTAATATTTGTTATGGTGTTCGAAACATTGACTTGGAATGTAAAATGTCATTTATCTGGCTTCTGTTAGCATTTGTTAGATACGAAGTAACTTATTTGCTTTCTCGACTTATATCTTAGTAATGTGTTGAATGTAACTATAGGCTTTGTCTAGTACTTATTTACTTGCCTAGTCGAACTTATAAAGACTGACTTAAAGGCTTCTCTAGCGCAAGTTTATCACTTTAAAACTTGGTATTTCAAAGTGCAGCCTGAAGATTGATGTTCCACCGATGACATCGGTCAGTGGTCACACTAAATCACGAATTGGTAGAAGTTAGAATTCATGGGTTGGCCATTGAATCGGGTCTCAGTTTGTGAATAGTGTACGAGCTTGCCATGTGACCGGAAGATCCTGGTTTCGAATCCTATTGATGGGTGCGTACTGACGATGTTTCTCAATCTAGGGTGAAGCAGCTCTCTGGCAGTACTCTCTGGTCTCCAGTGGTTCTTTAACTGGTATAAATCGGTTGTTAGACTCGTGAAAACAAATCCAATCTTTACAAACCAACTCTTGATTAGATATCAACAAAAGTACATATTTGCTCATATTTGTTTCGTTTTCAGTAACAAAAGTAGTGTAACCTATTCTGATTTGTCTAAAGTGCTTTTGCTTTCTCTGAAAATGTGCATAAACAGTATGCGGATGCCAATTTTACTGAATACAAAAATGATAAATCTTCAAAACAGTATTATTATTCGCTTCACTTACAGTTGATTAGAACATACAAGAGAAAGAAGTTAAACTTATTCAGCTGAATAATATTTTCCTTCCTTATTACATAATAAAAATAAATAATCTAGTTAGCTTGTGTAATCATGCTTCCATAGTGAGACCATGACAAGAATACATTTCATTTTGATTGACAGCTACTATTTTGTCTCTTTTTTAATGGATAGACAATTGTATAAAATGTCATTACTGTCAATCATTTTTAATGAATGAAATCATTATCAATTCTCTTTTGATTTAAAGTATAATATTAACCATGTAGGCAGTCGCTCGTAAATGCATTAGTTGACCAGTTGTAACTTAAGTGGATAAATTAAATTAGAGAAAAACATTGAAGAAAATGTTACACTGTGAAAAATACTCATTTTTCTGCATGGATACATTTTCTACATATTCTAGGTAAGTCTAACGAATTCGCCATATCTACTAAGTAGTACTGCTTAAACTTAAGCAGTAGGTAGAACATATTTTTTATAGAGGGGAACAGAAGCTAACATATGATAAATTGTTACGAAACATATGGTGACTGTTCAGCGTTAGTGGATAGGAAATATTAAATTTAACTCTTGTTTGTTATTTACCTCAAACCTTCAAAACGTACATCTGGTACAATTTTCATCCTGGCCTAGTTTACTAACCAGTCCTAAGCTCGCCCTGTTATTCCACCTAACACGGGAGATGAACGCAGACACTTTGAGGTCAAAAAATACAGCAGTTGCTGGACGCCGGTAAGTATGCCTATGTCCCAGAATTTATCGAATGGTGAAGATATGACCATTACGCCCACATCCTGGTCTAAAGCCTGTCTGGTTTTCTCGTGCTTATTCCTCCCAAGCACCACAGCCTACGCATTATTATTGAGCCTAGTGCTTTAGACAGTATATAATTCAAGCTGATCCCCCTGTGATTATAACACCAAGACTTGTTTCCCTTCTTGTATACCGGGATATTCAATGACTTACCTACGGGACTTCTTCTGATTCCCAAACTTTGTCTAATGCCTTAACTAATCAAGACAGTAAACTGTCTCCACTGTCCTTCAATGCCCCAGTTAGAGATATACGACCTGTGTTTATATCCCATTCAGGGAGGTGATGGATGTTTAGTAAGTTGACTGTGGTTGTTAGACATTTAAATTGTTACTCAAAGTGTTCTCACCAAAGTCCCATTTGTCTATCCTGAGGTTAATTAGGGCTCCACTTTTCTCGGAGATTTTCTCACTTATTATTTACCTTTTACACATTTTTCCCCAATAAGCCTTGGTAGATCTCTGGTGTTAATTATCGCGGATTCCTTTTCCATTTCTTTCGCTTTTGTCGCCTACCATTGTTCACGATCGTTGCGAAGATTTCTTTTTAAGTTACATTTGGACAGCTTACGCTCCTAATCATATTTGTAACTCACTGGAATCAGTCTTCTTGCCTAAATCAGTTCGGATGAGGCGGCAGAAACCCGATATCTTTTACTAAATTTTGGTTTTATCTTATTAACAGCCATTACAGACGTATCTGCAGCTCATTGTATGTTGTGCCAGGCTTCTTCAGAAGAAGTCTTGCTGTCGACCTCAGATACTCGTTTCACTGTTTGTTCCTTAAATAGGGACCCAGTGCCTTCATCTAGCTGGGGGCGCAATCGTTTTGCTGTCAACAGTTTTTTATGTCTGTTTAATCGCAAGCACAGAGGTTTGCGAACCAGGGCGAGATTGTAATCTACGCACGTGTTCCAGAAGGATCGACAATCTTCTACTGACCCTCGCCAACGATAACCTATCACTATGTGGTCTATTTGAGTTCGACGTTGGCTTGATGATGGAGGTTGCCACGTTAGGTAATGTCTGTCTTTGTGTCTAAAGCCAGTACTCACTGGGAACAGCTTATTATCTGAACACAACTGTATAAGACAATCACCGTTGTCGGTTCGTTGATAAAGAATTCCGTAGGTACCTCCAATATACTTCTCAATCTGGCACAACTTCCCTTTTTCGGCATTGAAGTCGCCTGCTAAAACAACTATGTCTAAACGTCTGGCTTTTTGCAGCAAATTAGACAGTCTCAGGTAGAAGTCATCCTTTAGTTCATCCTAATTGCAGTCTGCTGGGGCGTAAGTGGAGACTAGGAAAAGACAACGACGGGTGACGCCGTCTTTCCTTCTTCTAACAGACCCGTTCAGACGGATCACACACATACGACTGTCTACTGAGAACCAGTCAAGAAGTGATTTTTCTGCCCTAATACTCGAAAGTAACCCTAACCTGCGAGTCGGCGCGAGCTAGCTGAGGAGTCTCCTGACACTCTTAAAGTGAATTTTTCAGATTCACCTTGTTGGCTGGGTGAGATTAAGTGAATGACCACACTCGGGTCTTGTGTGTGTGTGTGTCTCCGAAACACAACATACATCCATGGCTCTAGATTCCAGAGTTCTTGCTAGTGATGCCTGTTGTCCGATTCCACAGAGGGTTCTGACGTTAAATGCTCCTAAATGAAGTTGACGACGTGGCTTTAGAAGCTGTCGGGGGTGTTTCTATGGCTCACATCGTTGTTTGTGTTCACAGAGTGAAGTGAAGACGACTCACTAGTCTGAACAATAGTACAGACTCTAGTAGGGGAAAGATGATGAGGGTGATGTAGATAAAGAAGAATGATGATCAGTAGGGCTTCGTGTGCCTTTGAAAGTATGTGGGCGGCTGCCGGTCGCCCACACCATGGAAGTTGATTTTCTCCTAGGGAACCTATAATTAAAACGGAATTAGTATTGCTCAACCGCAGATTTCAGGGGGCACCTGCTTCAGGCCGGTCGCACTTATCCTATTTTAACTGGCTTTTTATGTTTGGTTCTGTATTAGCAACTTACTGCCGGTTACGGACCACCGTAGAGTAAGTCGGGATGTACAAGTGTTAGGGTCGACCTCATCTAACCGCCTCTCCCCAGAGTGAGAAGACAGTATAAGTGGCATGCTGGCCATTTGATAGAAACATCTTACGGCTATTACAACCCCGTTCTCCAGCAGGACGATTTTGCCTACAGACCCACAACACAGTGTAGAAAAATCTTACACTAAGTTCAATCGCTATCCTTATAATCTTCCTGGCATGGTAGGACCTACAGGAACAATAGTTCCTAGCCACTGAAGCTTGTACAGTCATTGCGATATTCAAGCTTGACCAACACGTCAAGGTAGCAGCTATCGGCTGAAGTTTCCTAATCACTAAGTAATGCCACTTTAACTCAGTGATAAAATTTCGGCTCTTTAAATGAACATGTATCTTTTTGAAGGTGCGGATGCAATTGCTGACGAAAAGACTATTTCTGCGTAAGGCTTGACGGCAAAGTTAAAGTTTAAGCACCACTAACTACCAATCAGCGAATAACCTCAAACGCACCAATCACGTGAAGGAGGCACTTTTGAGTATGGAATATATATATATATATATATATATATAAGAAAGGCATAAAAACTGAAGGAAAGTGTTACAGAGGATATCTTGCTCATACATGTGATAAAAATAGACCTCAGTTTTAGGTTGGAGTATCAACAGAGTATAATTCCATTGTGGGTAAAATTTATTTTAATAAAGTCTCATGCAGTAATATTTCTTAATCAATAAATTGTGCTCGGAACGTCATCAGTAAATATTACTATATAAGACTGTGGGGATATCAAAGTAAATTTTACCCACAATGGAATTATGCTCTACCATAATCACAGTGAACAAGTTCTATTCTTATATCAACAGAGTAATTTAACCACATTCTATGTATGTAACTACTTTGGTCTTCTAACCCTGACAATAACCCTAATCTTTCCTGAACCTAACCCAGCATAAAATAGTATATCATCTTTTCTCACGAGTCATGTGATTTATCTTGTGATGGAGTTACTATATGAATGCATCATTTCTCACGCATATTGTGATTTGGTGTGTGAGATCAATTCATCGTCTTTTGTCTCACCTTGGTCTTTGTCGGATCTCGAACTAATGAGAATAGACATATCCAGACAGTAAGAACAATCCATTCTCAAGGTTGTGAGCCG